TTTGGTCAAACACAAACCCATTTTTGAGGATTTGATCCACCTCAAACCTGTTCTTGGGGATTTTGAACCACCCCAAACCCATTTTTGAAGAATTTGGTCAAACCCAACCCATTTTTGAGTGATTTGGTCAAACCCAAACCCATTTTTGAAGGATTTGGTCAAACCCAACACATTTTTTGAGGAGTTTGATCCACCCCAAACCCATTTTTGAGGGATTTTTTCCCTTTTGAAGGATTTAGTCAAACCCAACCCATTTTTGAGGAGTTTGATCCATCCCAAACCCATCTTTCTTGGATTTGGTTCTACCACAAACTCGTCTTCGAGGGACTTGGCCAAACTCAAACCCATTTTTGAGGGATTTCCTCAAACCCAACCCATTTTTGAGGGATTTCCTCAAACCCAACCCATTTTTGAGGGATTTTTTTTCCCCCCAGCCCCAGATTTTGGGGTGGAAGAGGCCGATTTTGGGCTACCTCGTACATGAAGATGTCGAAGACGCGCGTGGCCACGGGCAGGGGGAAGGTGGTGAGGAAGAGCGTGAGGAACCAGGACGAGGCGTACATGGAGGTGAGGAAGCTCTGCGAGCGGAAGTGCACGTTCAGCTCCGGCAGCTGCTCCTGCGGGACAACGGGAATTGGGGAGAAAAACGGGAGTTTGGGGTCAGAGAAAAACGGGAATTCGGGGTTGGATTTGGGGAGAAAAACGGGAGTTTGGGGTTGGATTTGGGGAGAAAAATGGGAATTTTGGGTGGGATTTGGGGAGAAAAATGGGAGTTTGGGGTCAGATAAAAATGGGAACTCGGCATTGGGCTCAGGGAGAAAAACGGGAAGTTGGGATTCGAAAAAATGGGAACTCGGGGATGGATTTGGGAAGAAAAATGGGAATTTGGGGAGAAAAATGGGAATTTGGAGTTGGATTTGGGGAGAAAAATGGGAATTTTGGGTGGGATTTGGGGGGAAAAATGGGAACTTGGGGTCAGACAAAAATGGGAATTCAGGGACAAAACCAGGAATTTGGGGTTGGATTCAGGGACAAAAATGGGAATTTGGGTTCGGACAAAAATGGGATTTGGGGTGAGACAAAAACGGGAATTCAGGGTTGGATTTGGGACAAAAATGGGAATTTTGGGTTGGACAAAAACAGGAATTTGGGGTCGGATTCAGGGAGAAAAATGGGAATTTGGGTTTGGATTCAGGAAGAAAAATGGGAATTTGGAGTTGGATTCGGGGAGAAAAATAGGAATTTTGGGTGGGATTTGGGGGGAAAATGGGAATTTGGGGTCAGACAAAAATGGGAATTTGGAGTTGGATTCGGGGAGAAAAATAGGAATTTTGGGTGGGATTTGGGGGGAAAATGGGAATTTGGGGTCAGACAAAAATGGGAATTCAGGGTAGGATTCAGGGACAAAACTGGGAATTTGGGGTGAGACAAAAATGGGAATTTGGAGTTGGACAAAAACAGGAATTTGGAGTTGGACAAAAATGGGAATTCAGGGTAGGATTCAGGGACAAAACCAGGAATATGGGGATGGATTCAGGGACAAAAATGGGAATTTGTGTTTGGACGAAAATGGGATTTGGAGTGAGACAAAAAGGGGAATTCAGGGTTGAATTCGGGACAAAAATGGGAATTTGGAAATGGACAAAAATGGGAATTCGGGGTTGGTTCAGGGACAAAAATGGGAATTTGGGGTCAGACAAAAATGGGATTTTGGGGCTGGACAAAAATGGGAATTCGGGGTTGGATCCAGGGACAAAAATGGGAATTTGGGGTCGGACAGAAATGGGATTTTGGGGCTGGACAAAAATGGGAATTCGGGATCTGGACGAGGGACAAAAGCGGGAATTTGGGGACTGTCCCTGTCCCTGTCCCCACCTGCAGCAGGAACTCGAACTGGTAGATGCAGAGCCCCAGCTCGGCCATGCTGGGCTTGAAGAGCTCGCGCAGCCGGTACTCCTGCATGAGGCGCACGAAGGGAGTTCCCAGCAAAATCCTGGAATTCCCAGCAAAAAACCCTGTAATTCCCATGGAACTGATGGAATTTCTGTCAAAATCCCAGGAATTCCCATGGAATGCTTAACGCCTCCTCCTCTGGCAACTGGGGAGGGAAAACACCGGGGTTCCAAAAAAAAAAAGGGAATTCCCATCAGAATCCCTGGAATTCCCAGCAAAAACTCAGGAGTTCCCAGCAAAATCCTGGAATTCCCAGCAAAAAACCCTGTAATTCCCATGGAACTGATGGAATTTCTGTCAAAATCCCAGGAATTCCCATGGAATGCTGAACGCCTCCTCCTCTGGCATCTGTGGCAGGAAAAGCCCAGAATTCCTCCAAAAAAACCCCAGGAATTCCCATCAAAACTCCCATAATTCCCAAGGAACTGACAGAATTCCCACCGAACGCTGAACGTCTTCTCCTCTGGCATCTGTGGAGGGAAAAGCCCAGAATTCCCAAAAAAAAAACCAACCAGGAATTCCCACCAAAAACCCAGGAATTCCCATCAAAATCCTGGAATTCCCATCAGAGCCCTGAAATGTCCCAGAAACTTTTGGGAATTCTGAATTTCCCAGAATTCTGAGATTCCCCGGAATTCCCACAAGACCCCCTGGAATTCCCACAAAAACCACCAAAATTCCCACAAAAATCACCGGAATTCCCACAAAAACCAACAAAATTCCCACAAACCCCCTGGAATTCCCACAAAAACCAACAAAATTCCCACAAAACCCCCTGAAATTCCCAGAAAAGTTTGGGAATTCTGAGATTCCCACAAACCCCCAGAATTCCTACAAAACCCCCTGGAATTCCCACAAGCCACCTGGAATTCCCATCAAAGCCTTGAAATTCCCAGAAAAGTTTGGGAATTCTGAGATTCCCCGGAATTCCCACAAGGCCCCCTGGAATTCCCATCAAAGCCTTGAAATTCCCAGAAACTTTTGGGAATTCTGAATTTCCCAGAATTCTGAGATTCCATGAAAACCTCCAGAATTCCCACAAAACTCCCAGAATTCCCAAAAATCCCCCAAATTCCCACCTGCATCAGCAGCAGTCCCACGATGAAGGCGCTGCCCTGGCAGTACCCGACCTCCCGATCCACCAGCGAATAGGCCTGGAAAAACGGGAAAAATCCCCAAAAATTCCATGGATTTGGGGTCACAACCCCTGCTCTGGACATTCCTTGGAAGGGAAGCCCTGACCACGGACGGAAATTGGGATTTTTTGGGATCCCAGGATTGGGATGCGGCTGAAAAGTTGGGTTTAGATCCCAAAAAACGTCAAGGTTTGGGTTGGAAATCCCAATTGATGGGAAAAATGAGGGAATGTGGGGAACATCGGTGGTTGCAGGAGTTTGGGATGGAACCCAAACCCACAGGAATCAGTTTGGGGTGGGACCAAATCCATCCAAATTTGGGATGGGAGCGAATCCGTCAAAATTTGGAGAGGAACCAAATCCATCCAAATTTGGGATGGGAGCGAATCCGTCAAAATTTGGAGAGGAACCAAATCCATCCAAATTTGGGATGGGAGCGAATCCATCAAAATTTGAGGTGGAACCAAATCCATCAAAATTTGGGATGGGAGCGAATCCATCCAAATTTGGAGAGGAACCAAATCCATCCAAATTTGGAGAGGAACCAAATCCATCCAAATTTGGGATGGGAGCAAATCCATCCAAATTTGGAGAGGAACCAAATCCATCCAAATTTGGGATGGGAGCAAAACCGTCAAAATTTGGAGAGGAACCAAATCCATCCAAATTTGGGATGGGAGCAAATCCATCCAAATTTGGAGAGGAACCAAATCCATCCAAATTTGGGATGGGAGCAAATCCGTCAAAATTTGGAGAGGAACCAAATCCATCCAAATTTGAGGTGGAACCAAATCCATCCAAATTTGAGGTGGAACCAAATCCATCCAAATTTGGAGAGGAACCAAATCTATCCAAATTTGAGGTGGAACCAAACCCTTTAAAAAATGGGCTTGGGATGGAACCAAATCCCTCAGAATTTGGGCTGGAGACCAAATCCCCCAAAAATGAGTCTGGGATGGAACCAAAAGTGAGTTTGGGGTGGCCCCAACCTCTCCTGAGGCCTCCGCATTCCCATGCCAGCAGTGGAGGCCCCCAAATCGGTGTCACCTCCGTGACGTTGAAGAACGTTTCCTGTCCCACCTCAGATCCCTGTCCCAGGGCCACCCCCGGCAGTGTCCCCAGGCTGTCATCTTCATGACGTTGAAGAGCACCTCTGTCCCTGTCCCACCTCAGATCCCTGTCCCAGGGCCACCCCCGGCAGTGTCCCCAGGCTGTCATCTTCATGACGTTGAAGAGCACCTCTGTCCCTGTCCCACCTCAGATCCCTGTCCCAGGGCCACCCCCGGCAGTGTCCCCAGGCTGTCATCTTCATGACGTTGAAGAGCACCTCTGTCCCTGTCCCACCTCAGATCCCTGTCCCAGGGCCACCCCCGGCAGTGTCCCCAGGCTGTCATCTTCATGACGTTGAAGAGCACCTCTGTCCCTGTCCCACCTCAGATCCCTGTCCCAGGGCCACCCCCGGCAGTGTCCCCAGGCTGTCATCTTCATGACGTTGAAGAGCACCTCTGTCCCTGTCCCACCTCAGATCCCTGTCCCAGGGCCACCCCCGGCAGTGTCCCCAGGCTGTCATCTTCATGACGTTGAAGAGCACCTCTGTCCCTGTCCCACCTCAGATCCCTGTCCCAGGGCCACCCCCGGCAGTGTCCCCAGGCTGTCCCCTTCATGACGTTGAAGAGCACCTCCTGTCACACCCCAAATCCCTGTCCCAGTGCCACCCCAAACCCATGTCCCAAGTGTCCCCAGGCTGTCACCTCCATGACGTTGAAGAGCACCTCCTGTCCCTGTCCCTGTCCCAGTGCCACCCCCAGCTGTCCCCCCAAGGCCATGTCACCTTCATGATGTTGAAGAGCACCTCCTGGCCCTGTCCCTGTCCCAGTGCCACCCCCGGCAGTGTCCCCAGGTTGTCACCTCCATGATGCTGAAGAGCACCTCCTGGCCCTGTCCCTGTCCCAGTGCCACCCCAAATCCATGTCCCAGGTGTCCCCAGGCTGTCACCTCCATGACGTTGAAGAGCACCTCCTGGCCCTGTCCCTGTCCCAGTGCCACCCCCGGCAGTGTCCCCAGGCTGTCACCTTCATGACGTTGAAGAGCACCTCCTGGCCCAGGCTGTCCTGGCCCTTGAAGAAGTCGTGCTCGGGGTAGGTGCGGGCGATGTCGCGGCGGATCAGGCGCTCGCAGGGCGAGCTCATGCGCAGCAGCTCCGAGTACTGCGCCTTGAGCGGCAGCTCGGCCGCGCTGCACAGCAGCTGCCACACGATGGCCCGGAAGTGGTGCGGGATCCCCTTCCGGATCAGCTCCTGGGGGGACACAGACCCCAAATGTCACCCCAAAACCTAAATGAGACCCTCAATGTCACCCCAAAGTCATTGTCCCCAAACGTGCTGCTCCACATGATGGCCCGGAAGTGGTGCGGGATCCCCTTCTGGATCAGCTCCTGGGGGGACACAGACCCCAAATGTCACCCCAAGTGTGACCCCAAAGTCATTGTCCCCAGATCTGCTGCCCCAGGGCACAGCAGCTGCCACACGATGGCCCGGAAGTGGTGCGGGATCCCCTTCCGGATCAGCTCCTGGGGGGACACAGAGTGACCCCAAATGTCACCCCAAAACCTAAATGAGACCCTCAATGTCACCCCAAAGTCATTGACCCCAGGTCTGCTGCCCCACACGATGGCCCGGAAGTGGTGCGGGATCCCCTTCCGGATCAGCTCCTGGGGGGACAGAGAGACCCCAAATGTCACCCCAAAGTCATCCCATTGTCCCCAAAGTCATTGTCCCCAAATCTGCTGCTAATGTCACCCCAAAACCTAAATGAGACCCTCAATGTCACCCCAAAGTCATTGTCCCCAAATCTACTGCTCCACACGATGGCCTGGAAGTGGCGCGGGATCCCTTCCGGATCAGCTCCTGGGGACACTGGGGACACTGGGGACAGTGGGGTCAGTGGGGACACTGGGGACAGTGGGGTCAGGGTGACCCCAAACGTGGTCAGAAGGTGGGGAGGTCAAAGCAGGACCCAAGCTGTGTCCTCCTCCTGGACAAATCCATCCCAAAACTGAGCAAATTGGACAAATCCACCCCAAATGGAACAAACTGGAGAAATCCATCCCAAAACTGAGCAAATTGGACAAATCCATCCTAAAATGGAACAAATTGGAGAAATCCATCCCAAAATGGAACAAACTGGACAATTCCATCCTAAAATGGAACAAACTGGAGAAATCCATCCCAAAACTGAGCAAATTGGACAAATCCATCCTAAAATGGAACAAATTGGAGAAATCCATCCCAAAATGGAACAAACTGGACAATTCCATCCTAAAATGGAACAAACTGGAGAAATCCATCCCAAAACTGAACAAACTGGACAAATCCACCTCAAAACCCAACAAATTGGGAGAATTTCACCCCAAAACACAAGGAAATGGACAAACCCACCCCGAAACACAAGAAATTAGACAAACCTATCCCAAAACACAACAAACTGGATAAATCCATCCTAAAACAGAACAAATTGGAGAAATCCATCCCAAAAAATCCACCCTTGGGGACAAATCCATCCCAAAACCCAACAAACTGGATAAATCCATCCCAAAACTCTTCCAGTTGGACAAATCCTGCCCCACTGGACAAACCCATCTCGAAAAACGACGTTTTGGGACAACTCCCTTCAAAAATTCATCCAGTTCGACAAATCTATCCCAAAACACAACAAACTGGACAAAAATCTACCCCAAAACACAAGAAATTGGAGAAATCCATCTCAAAACCTGCCCCACTGGGCAAATCCACCCCAAAACACAACAAATCAGGACAATTTAACCCCAAAAGCCAACAAATTGGACAAACCCACCCCAAAACACAACAAATTGGAGAAATCCACCTCAAAACACAAGAAACTGGGACAATTTCACCCCAAAAGCCAACAAATTGGACAAACCCATCCCAAAACTCATCCCACTGGACAAACCCACCCAAAACCCCACAAACTGGACAAACCCATCCCAAAACCCAACAATTTGGACAAAATCCACCCCAAAACGCAAAAAAATTGAACAATTTCACCCCAAAACACTAAAAAATGGACAAACACACCCAAAAACCCAACAAATCGGGACAATTCCACCTCAAAACACCACAAATTGGACAAGCCCACCCCAAAACTCATCCCACTGGACAAACCCACCCAAAACCCAACAATTTGGACAAATCCACCCCAAAACGCAAAAAAATTGAACAATTTCACCCCAAAACACTAAAAAATGGACAAACACACCCAAAAACCCAACAAATTGGACAATTTCACCGCAAAACACAAGGAAATGGACAATTTCACCCCAAAACCCAACAAATGGGACAAAATCCACCCCAAAACTCCTCCCATTAGACAAACCCACCCCAAAACCCAACAAACTGGACAAATCCATCCCACCATCCAACAAACTGGACAAAAATTCACCCCAAAACCCCAAGAAATTGGGACAATTTCGCCCCGAAACACTAAAAAACGGACAAACGCACCCCAAAACCCAACAAATTGGACAATTGCACCCCAAAGCACCTTGAGCAGCTTCTCCTTCTTCTTCCTCCACTCGTCCCACTCGTTGACGATGCGGCCCCAGAGGATCCAGGTGTCCTCCTCCAGGTGGCTGAGGTTGGACGAGGCCGAGGAGCTGGACACCAGCGAGGAGCCGCTGTTGCGCCGCGAGCCGTTCACCGAGCGCATCGACTTGGAGTCGGCCTCCAGCAGCCTGGGGAGAGCAAGACCACCCAAAACTCACCCAAAACTCACCCAGAACTGACCCAAAACTCACCCAGAACTGACCCAAAAGGTGCTCAGAGGAGGTGGGAGTCACGAACTCAGAAGTGACCCAAAATGTGCCCAGAGAGAGTGGGATTGACCCAAACCTGACCTGGAGAGACTGACCCGAAAGTGACCCAAAAGGGACCCAGAACTGACCCAAAATGTGCCCAGGGCAGGTGCGAGTGACACAAAATTGACCCAAAATGTGCCCAGGGCAAGTGAGAGCGACCCAAAATTGACCCAAAATGTGCCCAGGGCAGGTGAGAGTGACCCAAAATTGACCCAAAATTTGCCCAGAAGGGGTGGAATTGACCCAAACCTGACCTGGGGAGACTGACCCAAAATTGACCCAAAAGTGACTCAGAACTGACCCGAAAGTGACCCAAAAGTGACCCAGAACTGACCCAAAATGTGCCCAGGGCAGGTGGCAGTGACACAAAACTGGCCCAAAGGAGGTGGGAATGACCCAGAACTGACCCAAAATTGACCCAAAATGTGCCCAGGGCAGGTGGGAGTGACCCAAAATGTGCCCAGAACTGACCCAGAACTGACCCAAAACAAACCCAAAAGGTGCCCAGAGGAGGTGGGAGTGACCTAAAACTCACCCAAAAGTGACCCAAAATGTGCCCAGGGCAGGTGGGAGTGACCCAAAGGGTGCCCAGAGAGGGTGGATTGGCCCAAACCTGACCTGGAGAGAGTGACCCAAAACTGACCCAAAAGTGACCCAAAACTGACCCAAAATGGACCAAAAATGTTCTCAGAGAGGATGGGATGGACCCAGATGTGCTCAGAGGAGGTGGGACTGACCCAGAACTGACCCAAAAATGTGCCCAGGGCAGGTGGCAGCGAGCCACAACTCCAACAACGCAGATATTTTCCCCAAAAATCCAGATATTTCCCCCCAAATGACCCCAAAAATGGAGATATTCTCCCAAACCCACAGGAAATGGATTTTAACTCCTATTTTTGCCCCAATTTTCCCCCAAAAATGGAGATATTCGCCCCAAAATGACTCCAAAAATTGAGATATTCACCCCAAAAATTGAGATATTCACCCCAAAAATTGAGATATTCACCCCAAAATGACTCCAAAAATTGAGATATTTTCCCCAAAATGACTCCAAAATGGAGATATTCACCCCAAAAACGGAGGTATTCCCCCACACCCACAGGAGATGGGTTTTCACCCCAATTTTTGCCCAACAAAGACTGGAACCCCCCAAATGTGCCCCTGCTCACCGGTTCTGCTCCTCGAGCTTGGCCAGCAGCTCCAATAACTCCAAAAATTGAAATATTCCTCCCAAAAAATGGAGACATTCCACCCAAAATGGCTTCAAAAATGGAAATATTCCCCCCAAAAAAGGAGACCTCCTCGAGCTTGGCCAGCAGCTGCAGGATCTCCAAAAATGGAGAAATTCCTCCCAAAATTACTCCAAAAATGGAGATATCCCCCCAAAAAATGGAAATATCCCCCCCAAAATGGAAATATTCCCTCCAAAAAAGGAGACATTCCTCCCAAAATGACTCCAAAAATGGAAATATTCCTCTGAAAACTACTCACAAAATGAAGATATTTGCCCCAAAATGACCCCAAAAATGGAGATATTCCTCCCAAAATGACTCAATGGAAATATTCCTCTGAAAACTACTCACAAAATGAAGATATTTCCCCCAAAATGACTCCAAAAATGGAGATATTCCTCCCAAAATGACTCCAAAAATTGAGATATTTTCCCCAAAATGACCCCAAAAATAGAGATATTCACCCCAAAAACTGAGATATTCACCCCAAAAATTGAGATATTCACCCCAAAATGACTCCAAAAATTGAGATATTTTCCCCAAAATGACTCCAAAATGGAGATATTCACCCCAAAAACGGAGGTATTCCCCCACACCCACAGGAGATGGGTTTTCACCCCAATTTTTGCCCAACAAAGACTGGAACCCCCCAAATGTGCCCCTGCTCACCGGTTCTGCTCCTCGAGCTTGGCCAGCAGCTGCAGGATCTCCAAAAATGGAGAAATTCCTCCCAAAATTACTCCAAAAATGGAGATATCCCCCCAAAAAATGGAAATATCCCCCCCAAAAATGGAAATATCCCCCCCAAAAATGGAAATATCCCCCCCAAAGATGGAAATATTCCCCCCAAAAATGGAAATATTCTCCCCAAAAAGGAGATATTCCTCCCAAAATGACTCCAAAAATGGAAATATTCCTCTGAAAACTACTCACAAAATGAAGATATTTCCCCCAAAATGACTCCAAAAATGGAGATATTCCTCCCAAAATGACTCCAAAAATTGAGAGATTTTCCCCAAAAATTGAGATATTTTCCCCAAAAATTGAGATATTCACCCCAAAATTACTCTAAAAATTGAGATACTCACCCCAAAAATTGAGATATTCCTCCCAAAATTACTCCAAAAATGGAGATATTCCCTCCAAAAATGGAGATCTTTTCCCCAAAAATGGAGATATTCCCCCCAAAAAAGGAGACATTCCTCCCAACATGACTCCAAAAATTGAGATATTCCCCCCAAAAAAGGAGATATTCCTCCCAAAATGACCCCAAAAATCGAGATATTCACCCCAAAGACTGAGATATTCACCCCAAAAATGGAGATATTCCTCTGAAAATGACCCCAAAATTCGAGATATTTTCCCCAAAAATGGAGATATTCCCCCCAAAAACGGAGGTATTCCCCCACACCCACAGGAGATGGGTTTTCACCCCAATTTTTCCCCAACAAAGACTGGAACCCCCCAGATGTGCCCCTGCTCACCGGTTCTGCTCCTCGAGCTTGGCCAGCAGCTGCAGCTCGTCGGGGCTCAGGGTCTCGGGCTCGGCCCCCGGGGACCCCCCCGGGACCCCCGGGGACGGCTCGGGGCTGCCCAGGGGAGAGGCCATGGCCGGGCTCACCTGGGGGGACACACCTCACTGAGAAACCCGGCACTGCGGCCCCAAACACCCACACTCATAGCATCCAAAATTCCCATTGCAGCCCCAAAATCCTCTGCTTCAGCCTCAAAACCCCACAGTGCTGCCCAAAATCCGGCACTGCAGCCCCAAAAATCCACACTCAGCAGCAAAAATTCACATTTTGGCATCAAAAACTCACATTTTGGCACCAAAAATTCACATTTTAGCATCAAAAATTCACAATTTGGCATCAAAAATCCACATTCAGCATCCAAAATTCACAATTTGGCATCAAAAATCCACATTCAGCATCCAAAATTCACAATTTGGCATCAAAAACTCACATTTTGGCACCAAAGATTCACATTTTAGCATCCAAAATTCCCATTGCAGCCTAAAAATTCCTCTGCTTCAGCCTCAAAACCCCACAGTGCTGCCCAAAATCCGGCACTGCAGCCCCAAAAATTCACATTCAGCATCCAAAATTCACAATTTGGCATCAAAAACTCACATTTTGGCACCAAAGATTCACATTTTAGCATCCAAAATTCCCATTGCAGCCTAAAAATATTCACATTGCAGCCCCAAAATCCGGCACTGCGGCCCCAAAAACCCACACTCAGCACAAAAATTCACAATTTGGCATCCAAAATTCACAATTTGGTGTCAAAAATTCCCATTGCAGCCCAAAATCCTCTGGTTCAGAGCAAAAATTCACAATTTGGCATCAAAAATTCACATTCAGCATCCAAAATTCACATTGCAGCACCAAAAATTCACATTTTCACATTTTGGCATCAAAAATTCACAATTTGATATCAAAAATTCACATTTTAGCACCAAAAAATCACATTGCAGCCCCAAAATCCTCTGGTTCAGCCCAAAAATTCACAATTTGGCACCAAAAATTCACATTGCAGCCCCAAAATCCTGCATTTTGGCACCCAAATCCAACATTTAATGCCAGATTTAAGCCCAAAATCCTGAATTTTGGCCCAAAAATTCACATTGCAGCCCAAAATCCTCTGGTTCAGCCCCAAAATTCACATTTTGGCTCCAAAAATTCACATTTTGGCACTAAAAATTCACATTTTGGCATCAAAAATTCACATTTTGGCCCCAAAATCCCACATTTTGACCCAAAATTTGACCTTTTTGACCCAAAATTTGACTTTTTGGGCCTAAAATTTCACATTTCACCCCCCAAATTTCACATTTTTCACAAAAAACCTCCCCAAAAAACCCCAAAAACACAAAAAATGAGAGTTTGACCCCCAAAAAACCCAAAAGGGGGAAGTTTGACCCAAAAAAACCCCCCAAAAATCCCAAAAAACCCAAAAGGAGGAGTTTGACTTTGACCCAAAAAAACCCCAAAAATCCCCCCAAAAAACCCCAAAAGGAGGAGTTTGACCCCCAAAAAAACCCCACAAATGGGGGTGACCCAAACCCCCAAAAATGGGGGTGACCCTAAATCCCCTCACAAAGGGGGGGGTCAAAATAATCCCCTAAATTTGGGGTGATCCCGAAATCCTCATGAAGGGGGGTGACCCCAAACCCCAAAAATTGGGGTGACCCCAAACACCCCCAAAAATTGGGGTGACCCCAAACACCCCCAAAAATTGGGGTGATCCCAAACACCCCCAAAATGGGGGGAACACAAAGCCCCCAAAATGGGGGTGACCCTAAATCCCCTAAAATGGGGGGGATCCCAACCCCCCCCCAAAAATTGGGGTGACCCCAAACCCCCTCACAAAGGGTGACCCTAAATCCCCTCACAAAGGGGGGGGTCAAAATAATCCCCTAAATTTGGGGTGATCCCGAAATCCTCATGAAGGGGGGTGACCCCAAACCCCAAAAATTGGGGTGACCCCAAACACCCCCAAAAATTGGGGTGACCCCAAACACCCCCAAAAATTGGGGTGATCCCAAACACCCCCAAAATGGGGGGAACACAAAGCCCCCCAAAATGGGGGTGACCCTAAATCCCCTAAAATGGGGGTGATCCCAACCCCCCCCCAAAAATTGGGGTGACCCCAAACCCCCTCACAAAGGGGGGGTGACCCCAAACCCCCCAAAAATGGGACGACCCCAAGACCCCGAAAATGGGGGTGATCCCAAACCCCCCCCCAAAAATGGGGGGGACCCCAAACCCCCTCACAATGGGGGGTCACCCCAAACCCCTCAAAATGGGGGTGACCCCAAACCCCCCTCAGGAAGGGTCACCCCAAACCCCCTCAGGAGGGGTCACCCCAAACCCCCTCAGGAGGGGTCACCCCAAACCCCCTCACAAAGGGGGGTCACCCCAAACCCCCTCAGGGCTGTCACCCCCTCACACAAAAAAGGCGGGAACCCCCCCACCCCATTGAGGGGGGCGCCTCCGTTTTCCCCCTGAGGGGGGCGATGCCCCGCCCCCCCCATCGCCCTCATCCCTGAGGGGGGAGCCCTCCATTGTTCAATGACAGCTCCCTCACGGCGCCTCCCGCCCCTCGCACCTGCGGTCCGTGGCCATGGCGACCCCCGGCCGCCCTCCCGGGGGGGCTCCGCGCCGTTCTCCCCTCACCGGGAGCCCCGCGCCCGCCGCCATCGCGGAGCCGCCGCCGCCGCCCCGGCCGGCACTGACTGACAGCGGGCAAGAGCCGCGTCCAATCAGAGCTCGAGTTCCGCGTCTGGGACCGCCCACTCGCAGCGTCTTCGCCAATCAGGCGAGGGAACTGCAATGACAAGTCCCGCCTGCCGCTCCTCTAACCAATGGAATTGCGCATTCGAGTCGATAGACAGGGCGTTTATCCAATGAGCGCCAAGGAGGGGCTCGGCGCCCACACCCCCGTGAGAAGCTGTGGGAAGAGGTGTGGAAGCGACGAATGGAAGGCTCAGGTGGGGAGCGGTGGGAAGAGGTGTGGGAACCGACGCTCAGGTGCGGATGATTGATGGGTAAAACAGCCAATCAACTGCCGCGTCTCGCTTGGAGTGGCACCTGGCTGACAGGGGAAGACAACAAGCCCCGCCGCTCCACCTGAAGGCTTGGATGTGATTGACAGGAGTCTCAACCAATTGTACCGCAGAAACTGCTGAGACAGCCAATGGAAGCGCGGGTAAGAGGCGGAGTCCCGCCCTCCAGCTCTCGGAGCTGCTCCCGCCCTCCTAGGGAGAATAACGACTTCTATTGGCCAATGACGATGATGGACAGGCATCTATTCCAATGGGGCGTCGAGGAGCCGTGTGGCGTGGGAGAACGGCGCCATTGGGGACCCCAGGCATGGGGGAGAGCGGTGAGGGGTCAGCCGGGATGGAGTGAGGATCGCTCCTTCCCTCAAGGATCTGGGAATGCCCAGGGATGAGGTGAGGGGATCCCTCCTTCCCTCAAGGATCTGGGAATGCCCAGGGATGAGGTGAGAGGATCCCTCCTTCCCTCAGGGATCTGGGGTTCGGGGATCCCTCATTCCCTCAGGGATCTGGGGTGAGGGGATCCCCCATTCCCTCAGGGATCTGAGGTTCGGGGATCCCTCCTTCCCTCAGGGATCTGGGAATGCCCAGGGATGGGCTGAGGGGATCCCTGAGGGAATCAGGGATCTGGGAATGCCCAGGGATGGGGTAAGGGGATCCCTGAGGGAATCAGGGATCTGAGGTGAGGGGATCCCCCATTCCCTCAGGGATCTGGGGTGAAGGCATCTCTCATTCCCTCAGGGATCTGATCTGGGAATGCCAGGGATGGGCTGAGGGGATCCCTGAGGGAATCAGGGATCTGGGAATGCCCAGGGATGGGGTAAGGGGATCCCTGAGGGAATCAGGGATCTGAGGGGAGGGGAGCCCCCATTCCCTCAGGGATCCCCTCAGCCCATCCCTGGCATTCCCAGATCAGATCCCTGAGGGAATGGGGGCTCCCCTCCCCTCAGATCCCTGATTCCCTCAGGGATCCCCTCAGCCCATCCCTGGCATTCCCAGATCAGATCCCTGAGGGAATGGGGGCTCCCCTCCCCTCAGATCCCTGATTCCCTCAGGGATCCCCTCAGCCCATCCCTGGCATTCCCAGATCAGATCCCTGAGGGAATGGGGGCTCCCCTCCCCTCAGATCCCTGATTCCCTCAGGGATCCCCTCAGCCCATCCCTGGCATTCCCAGATCAGATCCCTGAGGGAATGGGGGCTCCCCTCCCCTCAGATCCCTGATTCCCTCAGGGATCCCCTCAGCCCATCCCTGGCATTCCCAGATCAGATCCCTGAGGGAATGGGGGCTCCCCTCCCCTCAGATCCCTGATTCCCTCAGGGATCCCCTCAGCCCATCCCTGGCATTCCCAGATCAGATCCCTGAGGGAATCAGGGATCTGAGGGGAGGGGATCCCCCATTCCCTCAGGGATCTGGATCTGGTAGTGCCCAGGCCTGGGGTGTCAGGGTGTGAAAAACACGTTCACTGTCCTGGGAACATTGGAAAAGTTGAATTAAGGACAAGGGGAGACAAGGACTGTACAGCAAACATCATTGGGTCAGCCAAGAGCACCCTGTTATCTTCGGGGGTACCCCTTAAATACCTTTTAATTACATCTGCCTGTTGCATATTCATAACCCTCATGCATATTCATAGCCCAGTCTACATTTCTCAGGCACTATTTTACATGGCCCCTCCTCGGCTCCTGCCTTGCAGAGCAGGTGTGTTCCTTGGCTGCTCTTTATGGCAGAGTTACTGTAACATCACACGTGTAAAATCCACTTTAATGTTTGTGAAAAACCAATATTATAATATGGATCCACAGCATTAATTACAGCAGGAATAAAAATTATACCTTTATAGCAGAGTTACTGTAATATCACACGTGTAAAATCCACTTTAATGTTTGTGAAAAGCCAATATCGTGATATGGGTCTACAGCATTAATTACAGCAGGAATAAAAATTATATTTTTATAACAAAGGTAGTTTAACATCACACGTGTAAAATCCACTTTAATGTTTGTGAAAAGCCAATATCGTGATATGGGTCTACAGCATTAATTACAGCAGGAATAAAAATTATATTTTTATAACAAAGGTAGTTTAACATCACACGTGTAAAATCCACTTTAATGTTTGTGGAAAGCCAATATCGTGATATGGATCTACAGCATTAATTACAGCAGGAATAAAAATGATGTTTTTATAAGAAAGTTACTGTAACATCACACGTGTAAAATCCACTTTAATGTTTGTGGAAAGCCAGTATCGTGATATGGATCCACAACATTAATTACAGCAGGAATAAAAATTATACCTTTATAGCAAAGTTACTTTAACATCACACATATAAAATCTATTTTAATACTTGCAAAAAGCCAATATTATAATATGCATCTACAACATTAATTACAACAGAAGTAAAAACGATATATTTCATAGCAAAGTTAATTTAACATCACATAAATAAAATCCACTTTAATGTTTGTGGAAAGCCAGTATCGTGATATGGATCCACAACATTAATAACAGCAGGAATAAAAATTATACCTTTATAGCAGAGTTACTTTAACATCACACGTGTAAAATCCACTTTAATGTTTGTGGAAAGCCAATATCGTGATATGGATCCACAACATTAATTACAACAGAAGTAAAAACGATATATTTCATAGCAAAGTTAATTTAACATCACATAAATAAAATCCATTTTAATGTTTGCAAAAAGCCAATGTTATAATCCGGATCTATGACAATGGAAGGGTGGAGGTTTCCTCTGAAGGTCCAGTGGAGGTGGAGATGGGCCTGGTCTTCCTCTGGGAATGCGGTGGAGAAGAGAAGCTGCTCTTCCTGGGAAAGCTGTTCTTCTGGGAACCCAGTGGAGATGGAAGCTGCTCCTCCATGGAAAAGGTGGGAATCCACTGGAGAAGACAGTTGATCCTCAGGGAATGCAGGGGGAAAGGTGGGAATCCTGTGGAGAAGAAAGCTGCTCTTCTTGGAATCCTGTGGAGATGGAAGCCGCTCTTCTTGGAATCCTGTGGAGAAGGTGGGAATCCCGTGGAGATGGAAGCTGCTCCTCTGGAATTCCGTGGAGAAGGTGGGAATCCTGTGGAGATGGAAGCTGCTCCTCTGGAATCCGGTGCAGAAGGTGGGAATCCCGTGGAGATGGAAGCCGCTCTTCTTGGAATGCAGCAGAGAAGGTGGGAATCCCGTGGAGATGGAAGCCGCTCCTCTGGAATTCCATGGAGAAGGTGGGAATCCCGTGGAGATGGAAGCCGCTCCTCTGGAATTCCATGGAGAAGGTGGGAATCCCGTGGAGATGGAAGCCGCTCCTCTGGAATTCCGTGGAGAAGGTGGGAATGCCGTGGAGATGGAAGCCGCTCCACTGGAATTGAGTGAAGGTGGGAATCCCGTGGAGATGGAAGCCGTTCCTCTGGAATTCCATGGAGATGGTGGGAATCCCGTGGAGATGGAAGCTGCTCCTCTGGAATTCCGTGGAGAAGGTGGGAATCCCGTGGAGACGGAAGCTGCTCCTCAGGGAATCCCTGGGACGGCTCTCCTGGTGTCCCAACCCTCAGATTCTCTCCAGGTAGGAATTCTTGGCTCCTCCCCCTGGGCGGAGCATCTCCCAATGGGATGACGTCATTTCGTCAGTCATGCAGTGACACTCACTGGCTCATTAACAGCCGATCATTAATAATTAATAACCCATTAACCACAGATAATGAATAATTAATGAACCATAAACATAAGATAATTAATATTCCATGACTCCTTTACAGCAGATAATTAATAATTAACAATTAACGGTCTATTAACAGAAGATGATTAATAATTATTGGCCCGTGAACAGCAGATGTCTCCTGGAGGGAGGATTGGTTTGTGGAAGAGATAAAGAAAACTGCCCAATTAACGGCAGACAATTAATAATTAATGACCAATTAACAGCAGATAATTAGTAATTAATGACCCATTAACATAAGATAATTAATAGTCAATGGCCCATGAACAGCAGATGCCTCCTCAAGGGAGGATTGGTTTATGGAAGAGATAAAGAAAACTGCCCCAATTAACAGAATATAATCAATAATTAATGGCCCATTAACAGCAGATAATTAATAATTAATGGCTTATTAACAACAGATAATTGCCCCACCTCTATCAGATGGGAACAGAATAAACAAAATCCCAAATTTTTTGCACAAATCATTTTAAAAATCACAATTTTTGACACAAATCCCTTAAAAAATTCCGAGGTTTTTTGACGCAAATCTCTAAAAAAAAATGGGGATTTTCTTGGCAAATCCCATTTTTAAAAAATCACGATTTTTTTGCACAAATCTATTTTAAAAAATGTGATTTTTGGCACAAATCCCTTAAAAAATTGGGATTTTTTGCTGGACTTTTTGCACCAATCCCTTAAAAAATAGTGATTTTTTGCCGGATTTTTCGGCCCCAATCCCTTTATAAAATGTGAACTTTTCCAGGATTTTTTGCTCTAATCCCTATAAAAAATTGGATTTTTTGCAGGATTTTTCGCACCAATCCCTTTAAAAAATCGTGATTTTTTTGCTGGACTTTTTGCACCAATCCCTTAAAAAAATAGTGATTTTTTGCCGGATTTTTTGGCCCCAATCCCTTTATAAAATGTGAATTTTTGAGGATTTTTTGGCCCCAATCCCTTTATAAAAAAATGGGATTTTTTGGCCCCAATCCCTTTATAAAATATGGTTTTTTTCCCAGGATTTTTGGCCCCAATCCCTTTATAAAATGTGAATTTTCCCAGGATTTTTTCGCACCAATCCCTTTAAAAAATCGTGATTTTTTTGCTGGACTTTTTGCACCAATCCCTTTTAAAAATTCGGATTTTTTGGACACAAATCCCTTTAAAAAATGGGGATTTTTTGCAGATTTTTTGGGCACCAATCCCTTTAAAAAATCGTGATTTTTTTGCTGGACTTTTTGCACCAATCCCTTAAAAAAATAGTGATTTTTTGCCGGATTTTTTGGCCCCAATCCCTTTATAAAATGTGAATTTTTCCAGGATTTTTTGCTCTAATCCCTATAAAAAATTGGATTTTTTGCAGGATTTTTCGCACCAATCCTTTTAAAAAATGGTGATTTTTGCCGGATTTTTTGGCCCCAATCCCTTTATAAAATGTGAATTTCCCAGGATTTTTTGGCCCCAATCCCTTTATAAAATGTGAATTTCCCAGGATTTTTGGCCCCAATCCCTTTATAAAATGTGAATTTCCCAGGATTTTTTGGCCCCAATCCCTTTATAAAAAAATGGGATTTTTTGGCGCAAACCCCTTAATAAAATATGAATTTTCCCAGGATTTTTTGCTCTAATCCCTATAAAAAAATGGCATTTTTAGGCCCCAATCCCTTTATAAAATATGAATTTTTCCCAGGATTTTTTTCTCTAATCCCTATATAAAATGGGATTTTTTTCCCCGGATTTTCGGCCCCAATCCCTATAAAAAATGGGATTTTCTCCCAGGATTTTCGGCCCCAATCCCTTTATAAAATGGGAATTTTTTGGCAGGATTTTTTGCTCTAATCCCTATAAAAAATGGGATTTTTTTGACGGATTTTTCGGCCCCAATCCCTTTATAAAAATATGAATTTTTTCCCAGGATTTTTTGCCCTAATCCCAATAAAAAATGGGATTTTTTTAATGGATTTTTCGGCCCAAATCCCTTTATAAAATATGAATTTTTTTAAAAAATGGGATTTTTTCCCAGGATTTCCGGCCCCAGCCCCAGAGGGGCTCAGCAGCTGCCGGCTTTCTCGCAGATCCAGCGCAGCGGCTCCGAGCAGCGCGCGCTCACCCAGCGCCCTTTGGGGCCCAGCGCGCCGCAGTCCTTCAGCTCCCTCAGCGGCTCCTCCAGCCACACGTCCCAAAAACTGGGGGGAAAAAAGCAAAAAAAGGGAAAAAAAAAATCAAAATAAGAAATTAAAATACCACCCAAAAAAAAAAAAAAATTAGGGCATAAAATGTAATTTTTTTGAGGAAAAATGAAAAAAAATCAGATTTATTGGCTCTTTTTGCTGATGGTTTTTTAAAGGAAAATTGGGATTTTTATGTCCCAAAATTGGGATTTTTTTTTACCCTGAAAATTGGGAATTTTTTCTGGAAGTCTGGATTTTTTACGCTAAAAATCGGGATTTTTTTAAAAATAAATATTGTGATTTTTTGCAAGATTTTTCCCAAAACTCTGATTTTTTTTTTCTCCCCAAAACTGGGGTCCGTCAGCCCCTTTTCCCAAAACTCTGATTTTTTTTTCCCCCCCAATCTGTGGTCCATCAGCCCCAGCCAAAAATTGGAATTTTCTAACCAAAAATCAGGAATTTTTTACCAAAAAAAATCTCATTTTTTAAAGGAAAATCAGGATTTTTTTTTTCCTCCAAAATTGTGATTTCTTTACTCAAAAATTGGTATTTTTCTTTAAACAAAAACTGGTATTTTTTAAACCAGAAATCAAAAACTTTTACTGGAAATTGGAATTTACAGAAAATTTTTACCAAAAAAAAAAAAATCTAATTTTTGAAGGGAAAATCAGGATTTTTTTTTTTTTTACTCCAAAATTAGATTTTTTTAAAAACAAAAAATTAAAATGTAATTTTTTTGAGGAAAAATGAAAAAAAATCAGATTTATTGGCTCTTTTTGCTGATGGTTTTTTAAAGGAAAATTGGGATTTTTTTGACTCAAAATTGGGAATTTTTTTTACCCTGAAAATTGGGAATTTTTGCTGGAAGTCTGGATTTTTTACGCTAAAAATCGGGATTTTTTTAAAAATAAATATTGTGATTTTTTGCAAGATTTTTCCCAAAACTCTGATTTTTTTTTCCCCCCCAATCTGTGGTCCATCAGCCCCAGCCAAAAATTGGAATTTTCTAACCAAAAATCAGGAATTTTTTACTAAAACTCATTTTTTAAAGGAAAATCAGGATTTTTTTTTTCCTCCAAAATTGTGATTTCTTTACTCAAAAATTGGTATTTTTCTTTAAACAAAAACTGGTATTTTTTAAACCAGAAATCAAAAACTTTTACTGGAAATTGGAATTTACAGAAAATTTTTACCAAAAAAAAAAAAAATCTAATTTTTGAAGGGAAAATCAGGATTTTTTTTTTTTTTACTCCAAAATTAGATTTTTTTAAAAACAAAAAATTGAATTTTTTAACCAAAAATTGAGATTTTTTCCCCAAAAATTGAGATATTTTTCCAAAAAAATTCAGATTTTTTTTTCCCCAAAAAATGAGATTTTTTTCGCCAAAATTCAGATTTTTTTTTCCCAAAAAGTGATTTTTTTTCCCCAAAATTCAGATTTTTTTTTTCCCCCAAAAAAATGAGATTTTTTTTCCCAAAAAATTCAGATTTTTCCCCAAAACGGAGGTTTTTACGTGTCGGTGGGCTCCTCGCCGGTGACCCAGCGCCATTTCCCCTCCTGCTCCGCGTCCGTCAGCCCCAGCCAGCAGGAGCTGCTGCAGTTGCTGTTCTGCACCAGGAAAAGCTGGAAGAAATCCCAAAAATTTAAAAAAAATCCCCCCAAAATCTAAAGAAAATCCCCTAAAAATTCCCCCAAAAGTTAAAGAAAATTCCCCCAAAAAATCCCCCCAAATTTAAAGAAAATCCCCCCAAAAATCCCCCAAAATTTAAAGGAAATCCCCTAAAAATCCCCCCAAAATCCCCCCAAAATCCCCCAAAAATTTAAAGAAAACGCCCCCCAAAATCTCCCAAAATTTAAAGAAAATCCCCCAAAAAATCCCCCAAAATTTAAAGGAAATCCCCCCAAAATCCCTCAAAAATTTAAAGACAATCCCCCCAAAATCCCCAAAATTTAAAGAAAATCCCCTAAAAATTTAAAGAAAACCCCCCCAAAAAATTCCCCCAAATTTTTTTTTAAATCCCCCCCAAAAAAAAAATCCACAAAAAAACCTCCAAAAATTAAAAAAATTTCCCCCCCAAAAATCCCAACAAAATTAATTTGGGATCGGTTTGGGATGGATTTGGGATTCGGGATTGAGTTGAAATTTGGGATTACGGTTTTGGGATTCGGGGTTTGGGATCAATTCGGGATTGGGGATCGAGTTGGGATTTTGGATTCGGGATTGAGTTGGGATTTTGGATTTGGGATTTGGGATTTGGGACTGATTTGGGATTTGGGAATCAGTTGGGATTTGGGATTTGGGATTGATTTGGGATTCAGGATTTGGGATTCAGGATTTGGGATTCAGGATTTGGGATTCGGGATTGGTTTGGGATTCAGGATTTGGGATTCAGGATTTGGGATTCAGGATTTGGGATTTGGGATTCAGGATTTGGGATGTATTTGGGATTCAGGATTTGGGATTCAGGATTCAGGATTTGGGATGTATTTGGGATTCAGGATTTGGGATTTGGGATTCAGGATTTGGGATTTGGGATTTGGGATGTATTTGGGATTCAGGATTTGGGATTCAGGATTCAGGGTTTGGGATGTATTTGGGATTCAGGATTTGGGATGTATTTGGGATTCAGGATTTGGGATTCAGGATTCAGGATTTGGGATGTATTTGGAATTGATTTGGGATTCGGGATTCAGGATTTGGGATTGGTTTGGGATTCGGGATTTGGGATTCAGGAATCGGGACTGGAGATTGATTCAGGATTGGGGATTGATTCGGGATTCAGGATTCGGAATTGATTTGGGATTTGGGATTCGGGATTTGGGAGTGAGTTGGGATTCAGGATTTGGGATTGGGGATTGATTTGGGATTCAGGATTCAGGATTGATTTGGGATTTAGGATTTGGAATTTGGGAGTGAGTTGGGATTCAGAATTTGGGATTGGGGATTGGTTTAGAATTTGGGATTGATTCAGGATTTGGGATTTTGGTGTCAATTTGGGATTTATTCGTGATTTGGGATAGATTTGGGATTTTGGTATTCTGGGATTTGGGATTCAGGATTGGGGATTGATTCGGGATGCGGGATCTGAGATTGATTTGGATTTCAATTTTTGGGATTTGGGATTGGGGGTCGATTCGGGATTTGGGATTCAGCATTGATTTGGGATTTGGGATTAATTTGGGATTGGGGATTGGGGATTGATTTAGGATTTGTGATTTGGGATAAATTCAGGTTTTGGGACTTGGGATGGATTTGGGACTTGGAATCCATTTGTGATTCGGGATTTGCAATTGATTTAGGATTTGGGATTGAGCATTGATTTGGGATTGGGGATTGGGGATTGATTTGGGGTTGGGGATTCAGGATTTGGGATTCGGGATTGATCTGGGATTCGGGATTGGGGATTCAGGATTGGGGATTCGGGATTGATTTGGGACTCAGGATTTGGGATTCAGGATTTGGGATTCAGGATTTGGGATTTGGGATTTGGGATCGATTTGGGATTGATTTGGGATTCAGGATTGATTTGGGATCAGATTGGGATTCAGGATTTGGGATAGATTGGGATTTAGGATGGATTTGGGATTTGTCATTTGGAATTGATTTGGGATTCTGGATCAGTTTGGGACTGGGGATTTGGGATAGATTTGGGGTTCGGGATTTGGGATCAATCTGGGATTGGGGATTGGGAATGCGTTTGGGATTTGGGACGGATTTGAGATCGGGGATTTGGGATGGATTTGCGATAGATTTGGTATTTGTCATTTGGAATTGATTTGGGATTCTGGATCAATTTGGGACTGGGGGTTTGGGATGGATTTGGGATGGATTTGGGATTGGGGATTGGGGATTGATTTAGGATTTGTGATTTGGGATAAATTCAGGTTTTGGGACTTGGGATGGATTTGGGACTTGGAATCCATTTGTGATTCGGGATTTGCAATTGATTTAGGATTTGGGATTGAGCATTGATTTGGGATTGGGGATTGGGGATTGATTTGGGGTTGGGGATTCAGGATTTGGGATTCGGGATTGATCTGGGATTCGGGATTGGGGATTCAGGATTGGGGATTCGGGATTGATTTGGGACATTGGGAATGCGTTTGGCATTTGGGACAGATTTGGGATTGGGGATGGATTTCGGATTGGGGATTGGGGATTGGGGATTGGGGATGGATTTGGGATGGATTTGGGGTTCGGGATTTGGGATCAATCTGGGATTGGGGATTGGGAATGCATTTGGGATTTGGGACGGATTTGAGATCGGGCATTTGGGATGGATTTGGGATAGATTTGGGATGGGTTTGGGATTTGTCATTTGGAATTGATTTGGGATTCTGGATCAATTTGGGACTCCCCCAAAAAGATGGATTTGGGATGGATTTGGGATAGATTTGGGGTTCGGGATTTGGGATCAGTCTGGGATTGGGGATTGGGAATGCGTTTGGCATTTGGGACAGATTTGGGATTGGGGATGGATTTGGGATGGATTTGGGATTCGGAATTTGGGATCAATCTGGGATTGGGGACTGGGAATGCGTTTGGCATTTGGGACGGATTGGGGATTGGGGATGGATTTGGGATTGGGGATGGATTTGGGATGGATTTGGGATAGATTTGGGGTTCGGGATTTGGGATCAGTCTGGGATTGGGGACTGGGAATGCGATTGGGATTTGGGATGGATTTGAAATCGGGGATTTGGGATGGGTTTGGGATTGGGGATGGATTTGGGATTTGGGACGGATTTGGGATTGGGGATTGGGGATGGATTTGGGATTTGGGATCTGGGATTGGGGATGACTTGTGTCCCCGACCTGCTCGTCGCCGTCGTTGACCACGGCCAGGTGCGCGCCCAGGTCGGCGCAGGCGTTGCGGGCGCGGCCCCAGCTCAGCGCGTCCCGCGAGAAGGAATAACAGCTGGAGCCGTGCGGCCGCCAGCCCGGCCCGCAGCGCCGCGAGCTGCCCAGCGCCCGGCACAGCAGCTCTGGGGGAAAAACACCGGGAAACGGGAAAATTATCCCGGGAAAATCCCGGAAATCATCCAGGAAATTATCCAGGAAAACACCAGGAAACAGGAAAAAAAACAGGGAAAATCATCCCAGGAAACCTTGGGGAAACAGCCCCGCAGTGCAGGGCCCGGCATGGCAGCTCTGGGGGAAAAACACCGGAAAATGGTAAAATTATCCTGGGAAAATCAGGGAAAATTATCCTGGGAAAATGGGAAAATTATCCCAGGAAAATCCCGTAAATCATCCAGGAAAATACCGGGAAATCATCCAAGAAAAGCCAGGAAAACCATCCCAGAAAACGGCAGGGAAACGGCCCCGCAGCACCGCGAGCTGCCCAGCGCCCGGCACAGCAGCTCTGGGGAAAACACCGGGAAACGGGAAAATTATCCCGGGAAAATCCCGGAAAGCATCCAGGAAAATACCAGGAAATCATCCAGGAAAACCCAGGGAAACCATCCCAGAAAACGGCATGGAAACGGCCCCGCAGCGCCGCGAGCTGCCCAGCGCCCGGCACAGCAGCTCTGGGGAAAAACACCGGAAAACGGGAAAATTATCCCGGGAAAATCCCGGAAATCATCCAGGAAAATACCGGGAAATGGAAAAAACACAGGGAAAACTGCATGGAAACAACCCTGCAGCGCCGCGAGCTGCCCAGCGCCCGGCACAGCAGCTCTGGGGAAAAACACCGGAAAACGGGAAAATTATCCCGGGAAAATCCCGGAAATCATCCAGGAAAATACCGGGAAATGGAAAAAACACAGGGAAAACTGCATGGAAACAACCCTGCAGCGCCGCGAGCTGCCCAGCGCCCGGCACAGCAGCTCTGGGGAAAAACACCGGAAAACGGGAAAATTATCCCGGGAAAATCCCGGAAATCATCCAGGAAAATACCAGGAAATCATCCAGGAAAACCCAGGGAAACCATCCCAGAAAACGGCATGGAAACGGCCCCGCAGCACCGCGAGCTGCCCAGCGCCCGGCACAGCAGCTCTGGTGGAAAACACCGGGAAACGGGAAAATTATCCCGGGAAAATCCCGGAAATCATCCAGGAAAATACCGGGAAATGGAAAAAAAACAGGGAAGATGGCATGGAAACGGCCCCGCAGCGCCGCGAGCTGCCCAGCGCCCGGCACAGCAGCTCTGGGGGAAAACACCGGAAAATGGGAAAATTATCCTGGGAAAATCCAGGAAAATATCCAGGAAATTATCCGGGAAATCATCCAGGAAAACACCAGGAAACAGGAAAAAAACCAGGGAAAATCATCCAGAAAAACAGCAGGAAAATCATCCCGGGAATCCTCGGGGAAACAGCCCCGCAGTGCAGGGCCCGGCACAGCAGCTCTGGGGGAAAAACACCGGGAAATGGGAAAATTATCCCAGGAAAATCCCGGAAATCATCCAGGAAAATACCGGGAAATGGAAAAAACACAGGGAAAATGGCATGGAAACAGCCCCGCAGCGCCACGAGCTGCCCAGCGCCCGGCACAGCAGCTCTGGGGAAAAAATGTGGGAAAATGGGAAAATTATCCCGGGAAAATCCCAGAAATTATCCAGGAAAATCCTGGAAATCATCCAGGAAAATACCGGGAAATCATCCAGGAAAAGCCAGGAAAACCATCCCAGAAAACGGCAGGGAAACGGCCCCGCAGCACCGCGAGCTGCCCAGCGCCCGGCACGGCAGCTCTGGGGAAAAACACCGGAAATTCTGGGAAAATATCCGGGAAAAATCCGGGAAAATATCCAGAAAAAATCCAGGAAAATCATCAGAAGAAAATGCCGGGAAATGGAAAAATCTCAGGGGAAATCATCCGGGAAAACGTCGGGAGAATCATCCCAGAAAATGGCCCCGGTGCAAATCAGTCCTGGGGCGTTCAGGGATCTTTTGGGAATTTTTTCCGGAATTTTTTTTGGGAATTACAGAGAAATTTTTGGAGGTTTTTGGGGGTGATTTGGGGAATTTTTTGGGGGGATTTTATTTTGTTTTTATAATTTCTAGGGGAATTTTTGGAGGGAATTTTTGGGGAGAATTTGGGGAATTTTATGGGGAGAATTTTTGGATTTTTTGGGGGGAATTGTTGGGAATCTTTGGGAGATTTTTTTTGGGAATTTTTGGGGAATGTTGGGAGTTACCGGCCAGCTCCTGCTGCTCCAGTTGGTGCTGCTGGATCCCGAAGCGCAGCCGGGTCTGCTCCTGCTGGACTGCAGAGATCCCAGTACGGACCAGTATGGACCGGTATAAACCAGTACAGACCAGTATGGACCGATATAAACCAGTACGGACCGGTATGGACCGGTATGGACCAGTATAAACCAGTACGGACCAGTATGGACCGGTATAAACCAGTACAGACCAGTATGGACCAGTATAAACCAGTACAGACCAGTACGGACCAGTATGGACCGGTATGGACCAGTATAAACCAGTACAGACCAGTGCGGACCAATATGGACCGGTATGGACTGGTATGGATCAGTATAAACCAGTACAGACCAATATGGACCAGTATGGACCAGTATCAACCAGTACAGACCAGTACGGACCAGTATGGACCGGTATGGACCAGTACGGACCAGTATAAACCAGTATAAACCAGTATAAACCAGTGCTCCAGTATAAACCAGTATGGGCCAGTATGAACTAGTACGGACCAGTATAAACCAGTGCTCCCAGTATAAACTAGTATGGACCAGTATAAACCAGTACGGACCAGTATAAAGCGGTATGGGCCAGTATAAACCAGTATGGACCAGTATAGACCAGTACGGACCAGTATAAAGTGCTCAAAGTATATCCCAGTATGGACCAGTACATCCCAGTACAGCTCAGTGCTTCCAGTATGGACCAGTACAGCCCAGTATAAACCAGTATAGGCCAGTATAGCCCAGTGTTCTCAGCACATCCCAGTACAGCCCAGTGCTCCCAGTATGGATCAGTACAGCCCAGTATAAACCAGTACGGACCAGTATAGCCCAGTGCTCTCAGTACAGCTCAGTGCTCCCAGTATGGATCAGTACAGCCCAGTATAAACCAGTACGGACCAGTATAGCCCAGTGCTCCCAGTATGGAGCAGTACAGCCCCGTATAAACCAGTACGGACCAGTATAGCCCAGTGCTCTCAGTACAGCTCAGTGCTCCCAGTATGGACCACTCCAGACCAGTACAGCCCAGTATTGACCAGTCCCTCCCAGTATAACCCAGTCCATTCCCAGTCCATCCCAGTATAACCCAGTCCCTCCCAGTCTATCCCAGTCCCTCCCAGTCCCCCCCAGTCCCTCCCAGTTTGTCCCAGTCCCTCCCAGTTTGTCCCAGTCTGTCCCAGTCCCTCCCAGTCCCCCCCAGTCCCTCCCAGTCCCTCCCAGTTTCTCCCAGTCCCCCCCAGTCCCCCCCACTTTCC